TATCCATTGGCCCCTGTAAAACATACAAATAATGGTCCAGGGCTCTGACAACGAGTCTACACCTGAAAATTTCAGCGGCCAACATGTGAGAATTTTCTCCTTCTGACACAAGTGGACACGTCTCGGACAGCAAACATAAGAAAACATGAAATTAGGAAAAAATTATTCAGCCAATCAAGTTTGTCCCTCCATAGACCTGATGCGGTCATTTGCCTGGCACAGAAAAATGTTCCCCATCTTCCTTCAACATGATACCAAGCTAATTTCCATAATATCTGTTTATCCTACTGCAATCATCCCTGATCATGTACTTTTCCAGGGCATGGCAGCCCATGGTCACAGAGGTCTAGGAGCACCATATACCTCTCAGTGAGACAGATACATTAGGCCAGAAATTCATGGCACAAATTTGCTTTCAAAATCTGCAACATGCTAAGAATGCAGATGTCAGAGTCTAAAATCTGTGTAATTTCAGCAAATTGTAGGAGTTAATTGGGCATCCAGAGGAAGTCCATTGACTGGTTCTCCATCACATTGCACCTCTCAATAACAGATCTCAAGTAGGTTCCGAATGGTAAGGGAAAGTGAATGGAAAGTGGGGGATTGGGGCAGGACTGAGCACAGTCCAATAGAGATTCTCAAGGTGATCTGCAAAACCAGGAGTAGCAAAGAAGTGTTAGTTTTTCCACTGGCACATGCAAGAATCTTAACTTCTGTTTTAAGGTGGCAACTGAGTCAAAATGGCATTCAGTGTGTTTATCTTGGGAAGGAGTGGGGGCAGGAAGAGGAGTAATTTGTAATACAGCCCCCAATTCATAACTGCAAATCAATATAAGTATTAAGTTCTAATATCTTCACATGTACAGTCAAGGGATCCTGCATCTGCAGATTCGCCCAAGGCCTTGGCAAAATAGTATGTTAAAATGAAACAGCATCTAATTCTATATGTTTCATAAATTTAAGTCCCTGTTTAGGTGAATCATTTCCGCTGATTATTTCATGTATTTGCCCACTGGTATCAGCAAGATACTTGGTCAGAGCAGAAATAGCAGGCAATCTTCAATAATGTCTATATACACATACACACACCAACAAAAATTTTCCACAGACAGAATCACAGAAATGATACAGCACAGAAGGGGGCCATTTCGCGCATCTTGTCCATGCCAATTCATAGGCACCCAGGTGTCCTTTCTAATCCTATCTTCCTGCACACAGCCCATAGCCCCGCAGCTTACAGCACTTAAGCTGCAGATCCAGGTACCCTTTAAAAGAGTTTAGGGTGTCTGCCTCCACTATCAACTCAGCCAGCGAATTCCAGACACACGCCACCTTTCACATAATGAAATCTTTCCTCATGTCCCATCTAAACTTTCGGCCGCTGAGCTTGAATGGATGACCCCTGGTTTTTGAACTCTTCGCCAAGGTAAACAAGTTCCTCCTGTCAACTCCATCTTGATCACTCACCGTTTAATATACCTCAACCATGTGATCCCTCAGCCTTCTCTGATCCAAGGAAAACAATCTCAACCTCTCCAATCTCTTCTCATAGCTACAATTCTCCAGCCCTTGGCAACTTTCCATTAAATCTTCTCTGCACTCTCTCCACAGCAATTACATCCTTCCTGTAATATGGTGACCAGAATCGCACACAGTATTCCAGTTGTCGCCTCATCAGTGTCTTATACAGTTTCATCAATATGTCCCTACTTTTGTATTCAAAATCTCTGGCAATAAAGGACACCATTCCATATGCTTTCTTTGCAATCTTATCTACCTGTACTGCTACCTTTGGGGGCCTGTGAACTTTTACACTAAGATCTCTCACTTCATCTAGCCCTCTCAGTATATTCCCATTTATTCTGTATTCCGTTGACCTCCCTAAATGCATTTCCTCATACTCATCAGAGATGAACTCCATCTGCCACTTTCCTGCCCACTCCACCAACCTATCTGTATCATTTTGGAGCTAACAGCTATCCTCTACAGTATCCACTACATGGCCAATTTTACCGTCATCTGCAAATTTCCCAATTGTGCCCTCCACATTCAAGTCCAACTTATTAATGTATAAGAAACGAACAAGACTGAGCCCTGTGGAACACCACTTGAAACAGCGTTCCATTCACAAGGGCAGCCATCGACCATTACTTTTTGTTTCCTGTTACAAAGCCAACTAATCCATAGTGATTAGAATTGAGAACACTGACCAACTCTTTCTTAACAATGAAGGTCAACTGGAGAACCACAGTCACCAAATTGGCTGGCTGTACCCACAACAGGTGAAATGTAAAACCACTTGTGGCCTGTATAGATCAATCTTTTGAAGGGACAGCACTTCAGTAAAATTGACACCAAGGGAGGACATCATATTAACAGCAGTGTCAAGCTGACACAGAGCAATTTGACAATTTTAAGCTTTGTGGAATGATGAAAAAAGATACAGCAGACTTCTTCATTTCCAGGCCATCCCAAAGGTCTTCACAGTGTAGTTGTTGCAGTAATGCAGAAATCACAACAACCAACTTGCACAAAACAGGCTCCCACAAACAACAGTGACTGGATTATTTACTTTCTGGTGCTGCTTGAGGATACCTGTTGCAATGACAATGGTGTGAACTTCCCTCCTCACCCCAACTATTCTTCAAAATAGCACCATGGGATCTTCTTTGGCCACCCCGACAGGTAAGACCAGACCTTTGTGGAAAACCCCATCCAAAAGGTAGTATCTCTGACAGACCAGCACTTCTATCAAGGGATGCATGGGAGCATCAGCCTAGATTTAGTGCTCAAGGCTGTGGAGTAAGGGTTTGGGCCCTTGGGTTTCTGAGCCACAGTTGAAGGGTTTGGCAACACCAGAGGCTTTTATTTGAAAATACAGAAACACTAACCAAGCATGACAGTGAATGGTATGTGGTTATTAGTTTATGGACAGCCTTGAAATAGAGCCGTTAGCATCACAAATGAAAATCACAGGCTTCCACTCATCTTGGGTGAGGTCAGGTATAAGCCATTAGACCATAAGATGTAGGAGCAGAAATAGGCCATTCATTCTCAGTAGGGTTTCAAATCACAAAGTAAACTTCAATCCATAGTTGTTAACCGATAACAACTTGCATTTATACAGCCCCCTTTAATGTAGCAAAGCATCCCAAGTCGCTTCACAGACAAAATTTGACACTGAACCACATAAGGAGATATTAGGCCAGATAAAAACCAAAAGAACTGCAGATGCTGGAAATCAGAAACAAAAACAGAAATTGTTGGAAAAGCTCAGCAGGTCTGGCAGCATCTGTGGACAGAAATCACAGTTGACGTTTCCAAATCGTTAGCTCTGATTTCTCTCCACAAGTGCTGCCAGACCCGCTGAGGTTTTCCAGCAATTTCTGTTTTTGATTTTGCTATTAGGCCGGAAGTTGAGTTCTAAGGAATATCATAGGGAAAGAGAGAGGATTAGCAGATTTCCAGTGCTGAACTTTTCAGCAGCAGATACCAATACTTTTTATTAAACAGCCATCCATTTTTTCCAACTCCCAGGAACAGGGGTTGCAAGCAATTGGAATGCATTTAATTCCATTATTACATTGTGAAGTGTCCCAGTACACAAATTACCAAGCCACTGATATACAGAATCGAATCCTCCTGGAAATCTAACCCGGTTAAATCTATTCAAAAATAGCGAAATGGGATACACTGCAGTTAAGCCAACATAGAAAGGAAAGCTTAAAAGACTTGCACTTAAACAGCACACGTTTGCACATCATTCAGAACTATCACAAAAGAACTTCACAAAAAAAATCTACTTTGAGATGTGACTTGACTGCTATATTAGACATGGCAAAGCAAGATCCCACAACCAGCACTGGAACACATTACCAGGCAATCAACCCGCTTTGAGCACGTCAAGTGAAAAACAGAATGCCGGTAGGACACTAGAACTGCTTATGCGTGTCCTTCCAAAATCAACCAAAACAGGAGATAGTTCTTTGGTGTCATATTTGAGGGATGGAATGATGACAGTGCTGCACACCCTCAGCAGCTCACAGGAATGTCAGTCCAGATTGTAAGATCAATTTTCAGATATGGGTTCTCAAACTTCTTTTCTCATCATTAGTACAAAAATAAATGACTGAAGTCTCATCACTTTGTCCAAACACATTGAGATGATGTGCACATCATTCACTTAATTATTTAATCATTGCAATCCCAAAATAAAAACATAAGAAACAGGGCTATTTGCTCCTCAAGCCTGCCTGCACCATTTCATATGACCTTGGATGATCTGATCCTGGCCTCAGCTCCACGTTCCTGCATGTCCCCCCTAAATCTTGACACCGTCAGCCCCATCAAGTCAAAATCTACCTATCTCAGTTCTGAATATATTCAGCCACCAAGCTTCCACAGCTCTACAAGCTTGAGAATTCCAAAGATTCATGACCCCTAACATAAGAAACTCCCATCACCTCAGTATGAAATATTTACAATGGTGCCTATCTTTAAGGTAAAATTGAGAAAGTTTGTTTGTTACTCAAGATGATGCACTGGCATACAAATGTAGACAAGCTGGTCCAGCCACCAAGTGACCAAGAGTTGAAATTGAACCACAAACAAGCAAGAGGACCTGTTGCTATATTTTTGTACATATAATGCTAAAGTGGTCTCAAATTGGTTGTACTGAAAAGTTGCAATGCCAATAAAAAGCAGAAGCAGTTGGCCTCAAAACAGCCCTTTAATCATAATCTCCTGCAGTTACCCAGACTAAAATTATCCCTGAGGGACGTCTACTTTACATTAATTACAATGAAGCCTCCAGGAAAACACATATTCGTGCAGCACTCGGCTGTAAACAAAGTGATGGAGCTGGTTAATGTCTGTTAACCAAAAGCTGGTTTGCAGAAAAAGAAAAGTGTCAGCATTCAGTTCAGACAACAAAACAAACAGCAACTCAAAAAAAAAGAAATACTGTAATATGAATCTATTCAACAACACATCACACTTACCCCAGGCAGTGTCTTTTGCTCATGTAATGCATTCTGTGCCTTGATAGCAGACTCTCTTGCACAGTATGTAAGGAAGGCACAGCCTAGAGGAACAGAAGGATCGTATGAGAAACAAAAACAAAAAAAAAATCGAACTGAAATTTCATTGCATCAGACCACAATGTTTAATAAAAGACAGATTAAAGAGAAAAAAAGATTACAGCAGATCATCAAGCCCGTTCACCAGATAAAGCAATCTCATATGACCTTCTACTTTTCCTACACATTCACAATTCCCTGGGAGAGGAAAAAAAAATCTCATTTTCAAATATGAGAATTTTGTCCCAGACCCCCTAAAGCAATCAGGCAAACTTGGATTACTAGATGAGATGGAATGAGCAGATTGTTTTGAAAGGGTGGACATACTGGGTTTATTTCCACTGGAATTTAGAAGACTGAGGGGTGATTTCATTGAAGCATCTAAGATCCCGAATGGTCTTGACAATGTGGATGTAGAAAGGATGTTTGCTCCTGTGGGTGAGTCCTGAACCAGGAGCCACTGGTTGAGGAATCAAGAATTGGTGTTGTGTTTTTAGGACAGAGACAAGGGGAAATGCTGCACATCTTTGAAATTCTCTGCCTCAGAAGATGAGGGTGGTAGTGTCATTGAATATTTCTAAAGCAGAGGTGGATTATTATGAGGCAAGGTAATCAAAATTTATTGAGCTTAGATTGGAACATGGAGTTCGAAACAAACAGATCAGCTGTGATCTTAATAAATGGTAGCACAGACTCAATGGGCTGAATGGCCTAATCCTAATTTCTATGCTCATATAAACTCCAGCATACCACTGTTGGAATTGGCATATCAACTGATCCATCAATTCCTCCCAATATTTTAAAAGAAATATAGTGATATACAGGATCAAAACATGATCTCCATATCTCAACTACAAGGGTCAGATAAGAGCATTCTAAAGAATACTGATTTTATTCACTTGAGAAAATAATAAATACACCATGCATCCAAATTTTAGATATGACATAGTATATGTTGAATCATCTAAGTTTCAGGACCCAAATTTCTCACTCCCCAACCTTGCCCTTCTTTGTACATCGTGACTGCCCCAAAATGGCATGTCTTCAGTCTTGACTATATGGTAGGGCTCTCATATCCTGAGTTAGAAGGTTGCAGGTCCAAATCCATCTCCAGAAATTACAGCATGTAATCCAGACACTCTGGTGGAGTACCACACAAGCTCTGCAGAGGCAGAAACACCTTCTTCCAGATGTGATGACAAATCGAGGCGCTGTTAGGATCCCGCAGTGCTAAGCAAAGAAAGGCAAGCTACTTGTCTGGCCAACACCTATGATGATCACTTTATTGACTGCTATTTGTGGAACATTTCTGCGCAGATACTGACTGCCACATTTGCATATGGTCCATCAATCACTGTTTTCAAGAAATACATTGTTGGCTATAAAACAATGTGAATAATATTGTAAAGATACATAGGTGAAAGGCATTGTTTAATTAGTACTCAGAGTGATCAGTCCCGACCTCTGAGCCTGGAGGCCTGAGTTCAAGTCCACCTGCTCCAGAGGTGTGTCATGACATCTCTGAACAGGGTGATTAAAAAGTACTTAAAGAGACGTCAGAGGGCATAATCCTGGCCAAAGTGGCCAGCAACAGGTTCAGGCAGTGGGCTATAAAAGGGGATCTTTAGCTATCTACTGCCTGCCCCTCCTCTGCGGTTATGTTTGTCTTAGGATGCTCTTAGAGCGGGAGTCAACCAACATTCTCAATGCCTTTAGAGAGGTATGCATCACAGCAGGTGGAATGCCTTATTTCCAATTCCATTTTAATTTAAAACCAAGAACTGAGGATACTAAAAATCTGAAACAAAGATGGGAATTGCTGGAGAAACTCAGCAGGTCTGGCAGCATCTGTGGAGAGAGAGAGAGACCAAGTTAGCATTTGGAGTGCAATGACTCGAACTGAGTTCCAGAAGGAGAATTACTGGACTCGAAACATTAACTCGGATTCTCTCTATACAGATGCTGCCAGACCTGCTGAGTTTCTCCAGCAATTTCTGATTTTGTTCCATCTTAATTTAATCCCCTCACTCCTTCTGTCGCCTTCCCTTTCGTGGCCAGTACCTGTTAGTTGTATTGGACACACTGGCAATTTGGAAGCAGTTTCATAAAAAAAAAGATCTCTTGGGTCATGTGACACAGTGGCAATGACCCTGCCTCTACACCAGAAGGTCTGAGGTGAAAGTTCACCTGTCTCAGAGGTGTCTCACAGCATGTCTGAGCAGTTTGATTAAAAATAACTAAAGACAGACTGCTGGGTTACTGTGTGACTGGTTGATGCAACGGCATTTTACAAATACACCAAGCATCAAGAGAGGGGATTGTGTCTAGTTTGAGACTTCATTATCTGGCTTGGAATCCAGTTATCAGACTGTTAGGAGAACCCAAGGTCATGAAAGGTGCAGAGTATTTCTTTCTTTGTAAAACTTGCCTCAAGTTGGAAGGAGTGTGATGTACAGTTGAAGCTAGATAAATGGAAGTGCATCCTGTGAATACTATTCTGAGCCAGCAGAGTCCGGTGCGACGGGAATATTGTTTGGTGGGCAGGAGCATAGGATTGCTACCTGTGGAGGCAAAACATTTACTGTGGGAGGCAGCATGCCAGCATTGGCTATGGGAGATTTAGAACAGGAAATATTTTGGTCTCTGCTAAACAACTTTCAGTGATTATGGGATAATTTATATGGAATTTTTCCTCACGAGATTAAATGGTTGGGATTGAGTTCATGAAAACAGACTTGATTTAATGAGCCTATTGGTCTTTCATATTTCACACATTATTTTATTAGTTGTTTCTACATATAAAATCATATCAGCCGTGTTGTTTCCCACTCTCCCTCTACAGTGATGACTGGCAGACTATTCAACCACACAAGGCATCGCAGCCAAATCCAACCCAGTTCTGACTCAAAATGGGCACATAGCTATTTTCTAATTAGAATAAAATGTTGATCATATCAGACTGAGGATGAGGAAAGTAATTCCATCACTCTAAAGGTAACAAATATTTTGAAGCCCAGGGGGGTCATGGATGCCCAGTCATTAAGTACTGTCAAGACTAAGCTCAATTGATTTTTGGCACTAACAGAATCTCTTTTATAACAAGAGACTCAATCAATTTGGAGTTAGAGATGGAACTTGGAGATGACACACAAGATCAGCCATGATTCATTTAATGTTGGTAGATGTTCAATGGGTTGTGTGGTTATAACAAGGTCAGCCAGGTGGACCTCTTAGAATATGAGTTCTCTGATTGGGTCTGCTAAGCTGGTCCAATCAGGGAGCCCTGGCTGACAGATATAAACATGAGTGTCACAGGTTCTGTTCACTCTGACAGCTAGCTCTGAGGAAGCTGGACCAGCATCAAGTACTATGCACGCGTAAATAAAGGGTGACTTGGTGATCTCTGTGGAGTTATTTCAGCCATTTCTGCTCCTCTTTCTTCATTTTTACCTTCTAATTGTGTTTGCCAGATTGTGATGCTGACTGACTTTCTTCCTCCAAGGTGCAGGTCACTTTCAGTGTCCTTTAGCCAGTTCAGTGATCTTCCCTGTCTCAATTGGCCAATCCACAACATTGAGTCACAGCGGATAATGTCTCATAGTCACCTCAAAGCTATTTTCTACGATGTACATAAAGGCAGCTAGAAATGTGTCTTACATAAATAGTAGCTAATTAGCAGATGTGATGCAAGAACATAGTTGACTGTATTAAGCTTTGGACTTGGAGGACAGAAGACTAGCAGTGATTTATACACAGGGCATTAGCAAACTGGCAACAAGTTATACAATGGGTATTAGGTAACTGGCAGAGAGTTACACACAGGGCACTAGACAGCTGGTAATCAATTGCATGGGCACTGGATAGCTGGTAGTGTATTATATGTAGAACAACAGATGGTTGGCAGTGACTCATGCACAGGGCATTGGATAGTTGGCAATGAGTTATACAGGGCAAGAGAGTTATACACAAGGCACCAGATGGCTTGCAATGTGTTACACACAGGGCACCAGATGCTGCCACTGACTTATATACAGTGCACTAGATGTTTGTTCGTCTGTAATGTGGACGTCACTAGAGTCTGGTAATGAGTTACACACTGGACACCAGTCATAGAGGACAACAGAGAACTGGCAGAGAATTACTCACAGAGTACCAGACTATTTGCATTGTGAGTCATGGAGGACACCAGACAGTTGGAATCGAGTAATGCACAGGACACCAGATGGTTGGCAACAAGGATAACTGATGATGGCGCTGAATTATATAGTTATATTCGGAGGACAGGGAGAACAAAGCAAGGAAGTTGCATGGAACTAGATGAACAATCTCTCCCTCACACCTCCTGAATTTGAGCATTAAATTCCAACCAGCTGTTTTTAATTTTAATTCTGATTTTAATGCGTTACCAGTGGCCCCTTTTGTGGCACAGTAGTAGCATCCCTATCCCTGGTCTGGGAGGCCCAGATTCCAATCCCACCTGCTCCAAAAGTCTGTAACAACATCTTTGAACAGGTTGATTAGAAAATAGGTTAAATTTTTTAAAAAGTTGGGCCCTATTGTGGCACTTGTGGTAGTGTCCCTACCCCTGAGCCAGGAGGCCCAGGTTCAAATCCTACCCGCTCCAGCGGTGTGTAAAAACATCCCCAAACAGGGATTAGAAAACATTAAAATAAAAGTAAGTGGAAGTGGGAACGTGGAACAATAAAAGCCACACGGGAATACAGGTGACGCACCTTTTCTCTGTGGTCATCTGAACATACAGAAACCCACTGCCACCAAAAAGTACAAAGAGTGATCCACAACAAGGAGAGTTACTGTGTGTTCAATGCAAAGTGTACACTCTCTCTCCCCCGCGGGGAAACAGGAAACATAGCAAGACCCAGGGAGCACCCTTGCCTGTCAGCAGGAGGCATGTTTTAGGGGCTCTGTCAAGGTATCAGTGTAACCAACTAAAGGTGCACAGGTCAAGAGCCCTAACAAGCTTCCAGCTTCTCCCCCAGCTGAG